GTATTAAAACTTTATCACGAAAAAGGATATTTTAAAAAATTACTTCTACAGACCCTTTCAATTTTTACTTAGAAATAGATAAATTCAATTATTATAAAAGGGACAAACAAAAATTTATTTAAAAACACAAATATTTGTTTTATTTGGGTCTCTAATTAATAAAAAACGACGAAACATCATTTTAAAGCACATTTTTATTCGACTAATATATTTATAAATAGTATGTAGTCCAGAAAGTAGCCAATGGGCAAAATGATAATTTTTGCGCCAAACTAAAAAAAGGGTAGCCAAATTTGACGCAAAGTAGCCAAATCTTGCAATGCTGAAAAGAATACTAAATAATGCTGGCATTGGAACTCTAAGGATTATAGACCCAAATTTGAGAAAAGGAGAGAAAGGTCAAAAGATAAAAAGTAGTGACAAAGGTTGGATAATTAAGGGTCAATATTTGCATTACAGAATGTCTATTTAACCTTTCTCACAACTTTTTATCTTTTGGCCTTTTTCTTCTTTTCTCAAATTTGGGTCTATAATCCTTTGAGTCACAACTTCAGCTTTATTTAATATTCCTTCGTCATCCACACATCTTCCAGTATTTGAAAATATTTTCTTTTCACTCAAAAATAAAATATGTATAAAAGTTTACGGCTTTGTGAAACTTATTTTTTGTTTATGCCGTTGAAATAAAAAAATAAAAAATTTGTCGGTTTTGTTTACACGTTTATTGGGCCGCATTGAAACTTGCCTTGGGCCGCATGCGGCCCGCGGGCCGCGGGTTGGACACCCTTGATTTAAAGGTTCGGTAAGGTTTTGTGACGTAGTATAAAATGCTCGTTAATTAAAGGTATCCGTTATTTACGAGTGTCCTTTATTCTGTACGCACTCGACAGCAGTTTTCGTTTGGCGTATAATTTCTTCTACGACAAATTTTAGTACAGCGTAATTCTTAAAAGTGGATTATTCCAACATTATAAACTGAATAATACTGTATTAAAAAAAACCAAGATTATTAATAAACAGCTTTAATCGGAAAGAAGTTTGCAATATTTTCGTTTCTCTTCCGAAACGCCTGGCAATTTCGTGCTACGTGTCTGGCAAATTACCTTAATTTTACAAGTACGTAATACAGTATTTTATATTTAATTTATATACGCTTTGTCATCAAATACCAAATCTTGGTGGTTTTAATAAAGAATATGTTTCGACAAGACTATGTTTTGTTTATAAAATCGTACTGCCTGCCGCGTTACGAAGGAGTAAGTGTCAAAAGTTGCAACTTGGCACAAAGTATTACATGCCCGAATCACGCGCGCATAAATAAAACCAGACTCGTTGGTACTCGGGGGACCGAAAACCGAGTCAAAATAGAATTCAAAATGGCGACGCTCTTTACAAACGCGCACGTGTTGCCCGTTGGGAAGTTGGAAATGGCACGCTAATGGGAACCGCTGCCTTATATAAGCGACTCTGCGTTGTTACGTCACGCTACATCATTGTCGGACTGATTTACTTTCAAATAAGGGGTGTCTCTGTGTATATTGTGTTCAAATTTGTTTGCCAATGATAACAAGAAAGTTCCTAAATGAGGGAAGTTACGTATATAAACTAAATTGAATTATTTTTATGGAGAATTAAATAAGTATATTTATAAAAATTTATTAAACAGCAGACAATACCAACAAATAGAAATATCAACTTTTATAATGAAATGATTATTAAGCGACATAATTATCCATTTAAAATATGTAATTTGTACTATTTCTCAATTACTGTACTATAAAATATTAATTTAAAGGATTGGAAGTTTTGATTTCAATTATTTTATTTTAAATTTTAAAGTATGTTTTCAATCCACCGACAACATATTATAACATTTAATCTGTCAGAAAACTAAACTTTACCGCAGATTTAAACAGGCTTAATTAAAACCGTCTGTCAATGGAAAACGAAAGAATCTTAGACCTTTGACTGACGGTGCCGAATAGCAAACCATTTTTAAAAAGAAATGCACTAATTGAGATGGAAAAAAATCCTACCACTGCGGCAATTGAGGATTCTTTCCTTCCACAATATTCTAAATTATTTAATAAACATTAATTTAATTATAATTATTAGGTTTAATAAAATAAGAGATGGCGGTTAACGCCTATCTCTAGTACCAAATTATTTAGGATTTAATTATCGATAGTAACGGCCAAGTATTCCGATTTAGGCTGTGTACACACTAGGCGTTTTGCGTTGCGTTAGACCAGCGTTTAGTGCAGCGTACGCACTGGCTCAGTTTGGAAATGGACGCGAAAGTAATTGCTCGCGTGCCCCTCTTCCATCGTCGCTATAAAAGACGATGACAGAGGCAAAGAGAATTTTAGGTGCACCCAATATTACGAGATAGACTGACGCGTGGAATGTTTGCGACGTTGTATCCAAAACTAAGACAAAATAAACCCAAGTTTTTTAATTCTTTTAAAATATCTATAAAATCCTTTGACGACGGCTGGTCTCTTTTAAATTTCATCGATAAATAGATCGGTATCGAAACGATCGTTCTCCATTTCGGCCAACGTACGTCCACTCTACCCGAAACCGCGCGATCGAATGTACAGTAACATGGCAGCGCATATATCTCAAAACGCTCGGCTGACGCCCGCAAAACTCACGTTTTAAGAAAAATCTATAATGTTTGAGTGTGTATGCCTTTGCAGAACTCTTGGTTCTTTAAAACGCTTAGTGTGTACACAGCCTTAATTACGGAAATCGTTTGGCTTATTATTATAACACCGGGCTTTGAGACTTCGAAGTAGTATTTAAGTAAAATAATGTACCGTACATTAAATTATGTTTTTTTAAACTCCGCTCCGTGGGCACTTTTTTAGCTACCCCATTCCGGGTTCGACCGGGTCCGCGATGGGGCGGCCGGGTGGCGAGGGACGGGGCCCGACGTATCCGGACGGATCACCCCCTAAAATTCCCGGTCTCCCGGAGCGATAGGTTGCCACTTCGACCGGCCGGGGTTAAAGGTCGAGATAAAGGTGGCACGGCGTCGGACGTAATGCCGATTTTACAATTTTTTAAAAAAATTTTCTCCTTTCCCTCAAAATTAAGCTTTTTGCCATTTTTTATAATTAAGAGTATAACAAGTTTTTGCTGATAAAGTATCCTAACAGATGGCGTCACACACGCAGTTTTAAATGGTGCAGGGAAACGAAGCGACTGGTTGGCGGATTTTATAAAAGATAATTCCGTGTATCTTTTAGCGTAAAATATTTTCCCAATGAGTACGAGATATTCTAATGTACATTATTTGGTAATTTATTTTCACAGAAGGTCAGATTCCTAAAGGTGCTTCGTACATAAAAGTTACCGAAGAAGAAAATGGTAAACTGAGATAAATTTAAATACAGTAGAGCGTCGTTTATCCGAAACCCTGTTATCCGAAACGTCGGTTAACCGAAAGCATTCCAGTCGGCAAAGAAAAATTTTCGCTAGTGCTGTGGCGCTGCAATCTTTGACTATATATTGGGCTACTCCAATATTTTTTTGTTTTAGCTGGCAGCACTGGCACTTTTATGTGGTGTTTTTCTGAGGACTGTGTTGTGCCGATTCGAACGTTTTTTATACTAGATCAACTTCTAAAGTATATATTTTTGGTTTTTATATTTTTCAATATATNTAATAATATACTACACTAATAATGGATTTTTTCATACTTTTCGATTATCCGACCAACCCCAGTCCCCAATTAGGGCGGATAATCGAGGTTCTACTGTACATACATACCGCGTATATAATATAAGCGTAATACTGTATCTCTTTATTTTCTGAAGTATTAAGGTAAACTTGGATAAGGACAATGCGAGACTATTTATGCCAATGCGCCATGGGAGACTGTCATCTATTTTGATACCTAGGTATTTTGCGAATACGTATGCTTTTAATTCTTACTCGTATTCGGTCTAAATCTACTAGTTTATTTCTATTTACCAGCCAGATATATTTTGTTTCACACAGATACTTCGTTTGGCTAGCGACGAGTTTAAATTTTCGTCGATTGCTCGAGGAGTCCAGTCTGCGTAGGTTATTACCGTGTCATCCGCATGGATTAATGTTGTTTTCGGGAATAATTTTTAAAATATCTTTATATAAATGTAGAATAGTAAGAGGCCTAACATGGTTAGATCCTTGTGGCATTTCTTCATTCGTTTGAAAGGATTTATATAGTTTTTACCTTGACACGGTAGATTCGATAAGACAAAAAAGTAGTTAGCCAGTCTAATGACACTCCTCTTAATCCAACTTTAAGCAATTTTGTTTTAATGTCTTGATGCGTACGCTATCAAAAGTCTTGGACGGGTCAATCGACACTGTTTCCACTATATTTGAATTGTCGAGTCCATCAACCGTATATTATTTGAGATGTGTAGAGAAACCTTGTTTAAGGTCATACCGTGAGCGAGTTTCTGTCACCCTGCACTTATTTACCAAAAGTATGTGAACTTTGGTCGGTGACATAACTTACAACTTTTATGTAAACACTCGTTCACTTTATCCGCCGCTCTCGAATGGCTTAGACATAGAAATAAACTCTCCCCTTTTGTTAATGTTAACTTTGGGTTGTGCGAATCGTTCGTAGTCTCCCAACATACCGGTTACTGCTTATGACTTTTTATTTATAAAATTAAAGAACTTTTTCAGTCGTTTTAGTGGTAATCGGACGATACTTGTCCAATTCCTTTATTTTCCTTCCTTTAGCTTAAACACGATCCCGTTTATGCCAATATTTTTGAATATTGGCATAAACGGGATCGTGTTTAAGCTTCTCCGAAAACGTTTCATAGCCTCCTCCTAGGATTTATGGATTAGAAATGATGTCCGCTATTTGTCTTAGAATTGTTATGTTTAACTTATCTATATCCGAGGTATTGCTTTTTAAGTTCATAATAAAAGTGTAGGAGAAGCGTTATGTATCAATTATACCGTAAGAAGACAAGTGTGGCAATGAATGATTAGTATTCGGAGTTGAGGTCATCTGTAAAAATATTGCTTATTTTTTCATTAAACTTTGTTTTATTTGCATCTTTATCGATATCGACAGGCAGACGTTTAATTTTTTTGCCAAAATTCAGTCCAGGAACTTACACTGTATTAGAGAACCGATGATCACAATCTTCTTCTTTCTTATTTCGGATAATTTTCTTGGGTGTTGGTCAATCGCAATTGTACTCGTATTTAATTCGTTAATCGACTTGTTTTTCTGTTTTATTAAATTTACTGCTAAAAATGCTTTACGCTTTGTCTTAGTTTTTTGTAGGAAGTTATATTGGGAAGATAATGAAAATCTGTCGGTGGAGCAGTAAAAGTAATTTGGAGCAAAACGAGACGATAAAGCGTATCGTAGGAGTTGTATCGAAGTATTACGTATTTGCCCGCATCTTTTCGTCGAGTAACTGCCTATTTCGGCGTCTTTCTACGGGAGAAAGATCCGACAATAAGTCTGGACGGATTGAGAATTCCGACTCGCCGACGTCGGTTAGATTTTCGTCCGTCGCGACCTAAGTTTCCTCTGGTCGTTTTAAACCGTAAAACTTTGTAGTGTCGAAAAAAGCATCGGACTACGGTATCGTCCGATTAACCTACTGTACGGAAATACAAGGTAAATTCAGAAAAAAATTAAATAAAGTAATTTTTAATTGCTTTATTATACAGTAGAGCGTCGATTTTCCGAAAGTCAATCATCCGAAAGAATTCCTGTCGGCAAATTTAAATTTTCGCCAGTGCTGTGGCGCTTCAATCTTTGGCTATGTCTTGGGCAACTCAAATATTTTACGTTTTTGATACTAAATTAAGTTCTGAAGTATAATTTTTAACGATACAATAGTCTTTGTTAGGCTTAACATCGACGAAAATTCAACGCGAAGCGACACGCAACGGAGAAAAATTTCGAAATCGGATACGTTTAACTATTTTTTCGTACGTAAATCAGTTATCCGAAATATTAGTTATCCGGACAACCCCAGTCCCCAATTGATTCGGAATATCGACGCTCTACTGTATTTATATTTTAAATTTTATTGTAAGTCAGGTCCCGAACTTTTGGGTATCCTGGTAGGCTTATTCTTAAACATCGATTAACCGAAGGTTACGCCAAGTATCACGAAAGAAATGCAAAATGCTGAGTCGCTTTTTTCACTCGTTGGGGTTTTTTATTCGAATCTAAAAACCAAAAACGAAGCGACCGTTATCAATAAACAATATTGCGAATGCGATCGTCGTCCTTAGTGGAAAAGCGCGAAGAATCCGTAAACTCGTTTCGAACGAGCGGCCACCAACTTTAGGCTGGCGTTAATTTCTTATAATTAAACGCAGGAGCTTCGTATTAATATAGTAAAATGGAACTTTTCTGATGATCATTCTACAGATTTTGTATGGTTTAAAAAATTCACGAAAATGGTCCGCGGGATTGAAAATTGTGACTTTAGTGGTGGGTGAGGCGAGAAATGCTGCCGACCGCTGATATACAGTACGTATTGTGTGCCGCGTTTCTGCCTTTGAATTTGCTTTCGTTACTAAAACGAAACGTAAAACGAAAGAAATGCAACTTTTTTGTCTATTGTAAACTGTAAGGTAAACAAATGATGCCAAGTAAAACTTGGGACAATTTAGACGACGGTCAAAAGTTTTCTTACGACTTTTTCTTTAATAAAGATAAGTTTAGGGCTTAAAGGCCAAATGTAAAGTAAATACGGGTAAAAATCGTGTCGCCAAACTTATCTTTACCGAAGAAACATTTCGACCGTCGTCTAAATTGTCCCAGAAACTTTTTTACATCTCCGATGTTTTTAATGTAGAGGACGTGGTTGCTGTATCATCAAATGCAGTGTGTAGCGTCTGTGTAATCCAAAACGAGTTGGTAGACGAACGGACAGCAATTGGTTAGAAAACGTACGTTTTATTTAAAAAATTCCTAATTCATATGCATTTCGGGTTGGCTTAAATTCCCAACCCCTCTTCAGTGCTGTTAAGATTACACAAAAAAATATAATTTAAGGTTAGTTTTACGGTATTGGTTAGTAGGAACATAACTAAAAACGCGAGGTGATGATAACATAAAATTGCTTACTTGACATATAATGGTACAGCATAGATGTATTTTACAAAATTTTTTGATTACATAGTAGTATGGCATAGCCTATGATATGAAAAAAGTGGTATAAGGGGGAGGCTGTTTAACATATCATTTTTATGACGAACTGTATAACATAGAATATTAATTTAAAAAATATCAATGCACACTTACATTTTAGTTAGAATGTATTATTTCCGAATACAAAAAGGAACATAGTACAAAACATTTTTAACAACTGGTCTTATCCGTTGTTCGCTTAGTAACAGAATACCGACAAGTAATGTTATATAAACAGTTACCCACATTCCGTACACGGGGGTTGTGATTTAAACAATCTTTAACGCGTGGAGGCGTTCTCTATGAGTTTGTACCATTGGGGGTCTATGGACATGCCTTCTGAAACATTAATTAAGTTTTCTTTAGGGTGTTTTTTGATTTCTATGTGTTCTTTAAATTTTCTTTTATATGTGTCTTTTTCTACATGTAACACTTTTGTATTGTTTTTATTAATTTGGCAATTATAGTCTATTGTGTGGTAGTACCAGGGGGAAGTGTTATGTTTTAGGCGGATGGCTGCCATATGTTCTTTAATTCTGGTTTCTAGTGACCGGCCTGTTTCACCAATATAAGTTTTCGGATTTTGACAGTTGCATTCAAGTTTGTAAACAGTTCCTATAGTTTTAAGGGCGTTTAGTTTGTTGTTATGTTGTTTATTAATGTCATAATGGATACTATGAGATATTTTGTTGGTCAAAGATGGAGCCAAACTGATATTGTCTTTTTTTAATGACTTATTACAGCCTTCAAAAATGTTTTTTATATATGGGAAGGTTTTGTATTTTTTGTCGGATTTATATTTTGTGTTAAATCTATTTTCCCAGTATTGCTTTTGCCATGTGTTTAATTTCGATTTAGGATAGTCGTTAAGTAAAAATTTAGTTTCAAGCTCTTTTATTTTTATTTTTTGCCATTTGTTATCAGATATTCTGGTATATATGTTTTTTAACTCCATGGTATAAATATTCCTTTTTATATATTCTGGGACATGTGAGTAGTAGTTGATAGTTTTATTAACGTTACATGGTTTTTTGTATGTGATGAAAGAGAAATTATTAAGTGTATTCATGATTGTTATGTCGAGGAAATTAATTTTTTTATTGTTTTCTATTTCAATATCGAATTGAATATTTTCGTTAAATTTGTTAGCAGTGTTCAGAATAGTATTATC